CCCGATGAATTGATATATTTATCCCCAAGATAACCGTAAATCTCGCATGTTATGGGCATTTGCTATTAGTGTTAATAGAATTCAAAAGATTCATTTTTTATCTAAAGTTTTTGATGTAACGTGAGTTTATTGAATTGTTGTCAAAGATTTTTACCGAGAATTTCCAGAGTGCGGTTTTTTTTTATCAATGGTATTCAGTAATAGATGATAATTGATGGAATGCCCCGGAGAATTAAGATTCTTTTTTTGTTAACTAATTAATTCCTCTGTTTTAAAAACAATATCGAATTCTTCTATACTGGTGAACGATTTTATGAGTAATTGATTGGTCATTACTTCGTTAATGAATTCCTCATTTGAACTTAGAATGTTTTTTAATTGATTGGAGTGTTCTGAGGAATCAATTAAATCGTTTGGAATCTGTAATACTGTCACAATTTTTAAAATGCTTTAAAAATTACGACTTGAGGAGAAAAAAGCACAGCGGAACTGCCATCAGGACTGAGAGATATGTAAACGAGTGGCATAACGAGGCGCGACACGTCAATATTTTTTTTTCCCTTTTCCCTATCTTCATCTCTCTTTCCCTTTCCCTCTATAAAAAAAAAGTGCGCCAGTGTTGGTAATATCGACGCAGTCCACCGCGCAAGCGTATTTTTGTGAATTCACGGCTTTCACACACACTCGGGACATTTTGAAACAGGCGCGGTGGTTTGAAAATTTCGCTCTACGTCTCGACACAAGTCTCCACCGTCTAATTTATGTTACAGCGAACCTAGGAAATACAGAGAGGCTGTACCAGAGCCGAAGGGCATAAGGAACTTTGGACGAGAGTCAACATGTGACGCGGGGCAAAAAGTCGAGTCGTTATAATTTATAACGCCTAAACGCCTCCTAAAACCGCTTTCAGGGGGAATCATTGCCACGTGGACAATAATTGCACGTCATCCCCATTTTTATCTCTAAAACAATTACAACCATTTCATTTGATCCGAGAAAACAATTTTTTTACCCTAAAAAATAATTAAAACTGAAAAACTCATACGTAAAAAATCAACTTTCATGATGAATTCCATAATCTGCAAAAAAAGAAATCCTGTTGAAAATTTTTTTGAAAACAACCTTACTGGAGGTGAAAAAGTAATTTATGTTCAGGTTCTCATGTTCATTAATTTTCATTACCGGAGAATTCTAGAATCAAGTGACATTTCCTGAAAACATATTCATCACCGCGTGGAAAAATATTTCCCGTACATCCCAATGAAGCTGTAAAAATGAATAGTTCCTCGAGACTTGAGTCTGCGATTTAAAAGCGATTTACCGATTTATCAGAGCCGTTAAAAAAAATCCTCGAGAATTTTGTTTTCGAGACAAAGGACTCGGCGAGAACGACTCCATTCCCCGCAGAAACGAACAAGTCACCTCGGAATAAAGAAACGCGTCTCTTTTTTTCGCCGTTGTTCCAAATTGGCTCGATGGAGCTGGAGGGAAAAGACCCATAGTCGTGAATGCTCCCTCGTTGGCTTATTTTTCTCTCATTTCCAACATTTTATCTCTTCTTTTCTCACTTGTCTCTGGGAGTAGACGCGAATGCGCGTGTGAGAGAGTCAGGCATTGGTGTATCCAGTACACAGATCCCGCGGTACCGATAACCCCCGAGGAACAGAAGGGGGTGGACGCATCGCCACCTTGGCGAGACCATCGTAAAACTTGGCCAGGTATAATCTGCGGTTCGTTTGAGAGAATAGTCGAGAGGTGGAGAAAAGCATTTTTGAGGACAGAAGCTAAAAAATTTTCCCCAAAAAGAAAAACAACACAACCGCATAATTTTTCCCGATACCCACCAATGGCTGATCTTTCCGCGGTGATCCCTCATTAATTAGAGGTCTCAGCTTCTGTCCTCATATTAACATCTGCGAAGGCAAGCAACGGGAACATTTCATCCGGGAAGCGATAGAAAAAAAAAACATTTCTGTATCTATCGTCCAGTACTGGTTTTCCCCTCTCCATTTGTTTTATTTTCTTTTTCCCTGTTGCGCAATGAACGGCGACACTCGGGGAAACTCAGCGGATCCAATCGTATCTGACAATGTTTTTTCTAGCGCTTAATTATTTCTGTTAATTTCATCCTCAAGCGGAAGTCAATTGCGAAAGTGTATTATAAAGATTGGACCAAGTTATTTCTTTCTACCGATATTCACGGGATTCGCTGGTTTTTCCAAGGGGGAAATGGGGACTAATATTGATCATGAGAATGCATTCAGGAAGTTGGAGTGCAGAAGAAGTGATACGAGAGTGCTAATGAAGGATACGGTGGGTTCTTGTGTAAGGGCCTCAAGAAAACCCGGGTAACGCACCTGTCTCTCTCTCTCGCGCCTCTCGACGCGTCTTACGTCACGTCGAGGCACCTCTCCCGTGCAATGTCGAGATGGATTATTCTTTTTATTTTAAATTGCACTCAGCGACACTTGCCGTCACACTGACATATCGAACGACACGGAGGACGTCTGAGGACATCTACATAAACGGACCGCTCATGTTTTTGTTCCGCGTGTTCGTTAAAGCGTTCAATTCGCATCGAATTAATCAATCCAAGATGAGAGTAATGGATCTCATCCAGCACTAGGAACTGTATTTTCAAAAATTTCCTGTCGTGTATCATCGAAGAGCTGGCCCATACCCGGGACCGTCGGCACTCACCGTCGGCCGGATTTCTCAAGCAAGTCCCAACTAGCCCCCATATCCCTGTCAACAGCCATCGCCAAGACAAGACATTCGTCACGTGTCAGAGAGCGAATGAATAAAACAAGCCCCCAAAAAAAACATCCCGCGGAAAAAGAAAAAGTAACATTATCCGCGACATGAGTCCCTGATTGATCAAAACGCTCGGTAAAATCTCCGGCGTGAAATACTAATGATTTACAACGCGCGTAAAAGAGAACGGGGAAAAAAGCGCGTATTATGTGTATCTCTGGGGTTCACGGACGCGACGGCAACCACTCGGCGCTCGAGACACAAGTTTACTTTTATTTAAACATTTATTCGTTTTATTTAGGGCCTGACCCAACGCCTCTCGCTGGCCATCTCTGCCAGGGAAGCGGTTGACCGGTGTCTCTGAATCTCAGTTTTTTTCGTTTTTTTTTTTCCCTTCTTAATTTCCCCACTCCCTTCTTTCATTTTATTTCCTCGTTTTTTTTTCCCCAACCGAGAACCCAGGGAATTAATAGCCGAGAGCGTATTCCGGCGGTGTCGGGGGACGAATACACGGGCGCGCTTACACTCGCCTCGTACAGCGGTGCGGAACGTTAAAAACTCTTCGCGGACGATCAACCCGTTTTCTCACGGGTGCACACCGCGCGCGGATAACTCCCTCATTCTCCCCCCCCAGCCTCCCACCCTCCCCCTCACTCCATTCCATTTTGTTTTCTTTTTTTCCCTCACCACTATTTTTTAAAACTCATGGCATCTCTTCTTTCCTTTTATTCCGCATATTCGCGTGCACCGAAAAACCGCACCGCAAAGACTCACACACAAGACTGAGAGAGACTCGAGTGGTGCTTTATTGCTGCAAAACGCTCAAACTTTCGGCCTCTGACCGCGACTACGTGCGCAACGCACCAGGTCTTCCCTCGGTATAAGGTGGAAAGGGGAATTAAAAATATATTATCCAGTGGGTTGAGAGTAAAAGCCTCGTTCGAGTCACTCAGAAATTCAATCCCATATTAATCCCCTTAATTATCCAATAATTCACGAGATACCATTATCATTAATCCCATTTCTCTCTCTGTCAGGTACGGAAACACCGCAGCTTTGTACCAGTTGCGGATGCTGGCAACGATAATTAATTCAATGTCGATCTTTCTGAGATTTCAATCCAATGATGTTGGCAAACACCGGAAACTTGGTGGGCACCCTTCCGCAGTGACGGGTTTGTATGAGCGAAATTTGCTTTATTGTGGGAAAAGCATTGATCGTCCAATTGCTCACTATTCCTACCGACATCCTATAATTTCATCAGTTCAATCCGTATATCCTGAAACTCTTCCAACCACATTGACCATTCTATCGCAATCCTTTCATCAAAACAACATCAACAATTGATGACTTCACAAACCAGATACTATTACAACTCGACGACTGCTGTTCACACATCGTCCTCTGACATTGGATTTTGCACTTCATGAAGACATTAGCTGTCGAGTCAAACGGCAAACAGCCGAACTCAACGCGAGATAGACATGCGGCAAAAAAATGAGGAATAAGAAGTACTTGGGAGCACACCGGTTGTGCAAAACGCCACTCGACACCCCGTTGCGCGTTGATGCGGCCACCAGGAGCACGCCTGACCTCCCGCCAGACGTATTAAAATGACGCACAGTAGAAGCAGTTAAAAAAGAGAAAGAGAGAAAAAAAATAAATTAAAAAAAAAAAAGCGAGAGTGGACTATGCTCAGGAAGCAGAAAACTATTTCAGGAGTCGGAGGCATTTTTCGAGTGCTTCTTTCCCCTCGTCACTCCCCTCCACACCCAGCCCCGACGGTTAGACACATTTCTTTTCGGGGATTGAGGAATGTTTTGTAAACACCATTATCGAGGTACTCAAGTATCAATGAATTATGCTCCATGGATGGTGCCAAGGATTTAATATAAGGTGAGATTGCTTGTTTGGTTTGGGGAGCTGTCCAAACACGATTATGATCCTTTCAGTGTGATGATGAGGAGGTGTTAATCGGATTAGCTGGGAGGAGCTGATGGGGCATTTGTTTGGGGGATTGGGTGTGTGGAAGGTGATCTGAAGACTTGAATACTCGACTTGTTGAAGTGGGAATGAACCGAAGGCTCGAAGGCTCGAAGGCTGGAAGGCATTTAATTTTTGTGCATGAATGACACATGAAGCGTAATACCGATGATGGAAACTCAACTCAATTTCAATCACTGATCGGAATGATTATGTCGAAGGTTAAATAACATTAGTAAGGTTAAAGTGAGGTTGTGACTTACCCGGTCGTATTGATGCGTAGCAGTTGCCGAAAACGGTTGGAAAGGCGCTGGTCTGGCGGGACTATGATGAGCAGCATGGGGATTGGCATGTGCATGTGGATGTGATGCAGCATGAGGGTGACTGGGATGCGGGGGCGGCGGTGGCCTCTGATAGATGTAAGGATAGTATTGATACATCACCTCGGGGCAGCTCATCACACCCCCCGGACCCGGCACCCCAGAGCCGGCCTGCCGACTTGTGTATCCGAACGTGGCACCCGCGTAACCACCCTTAACCTCCTCCACACTCGTATTTATCTTCAATTATCAATGGTTCAAGTGATCCACTTATCGGCAACACCTCTAGTAGCTTTAAACAGCAGTGATCATTGTCATGCCATCACCAACGGAATGATGGAGACAGCGAAGTGAATCGGTGACGCGGCATCGGAAACCTTGATAATGATTCACAGTCTTGTTTATCAGGGACTCCAGGAAAGACTAGATTTCCTGGTTTGATTTACCGAATCGAACTTGAGGTATCACTCATTCACTGAACCATTGGTTAATCAATCATCAAAGGACGATTGCTTTCGTTCTATCACTGATTTGTCACTCAACACAAGTTGTCAATCTCCAAGTCAATAATGAATTCACTCTTGTCACAATCACACTGGCACCAATAAACCAAAATCCTTGGGGATAGTTGATGATAATTAAGTCGCGAGTCACCACTGCACACAATTAATCACGCGTGATGGCTAATGATGACAATCCAACATATCAAAAATCACATTCCTCAGGTTAATCTCCTGGACAGTTGTCACTGGTACAGCGGCTCTGGTGGGCAAACACAGACTGAACCCTGGTTTCCCTGGTTTGTGTCACCCTCTCTCCCGCCGCTTACTCACGGATACTTTTTCTAGCTGGTGTTGCCTTTCCCCCCTCGGCATGTCTTTTTAGTAAAACCGGCTAGCCCCCTCGGGTAACGTAGTCAGGCAGCGGTGAGGGTCGAGGACCGCCCGATCATCCCCCCACATTATAACTCTAGGGATACGCCTCCTGGCAGTACCAGCCCACAGCCAATCCGAGCAATCCTTGGTAAACGTCCAATGAGACAACTTGCTGCCACTCCTACGCGTCCGCAGTTTCTGTATTGATCTCACAATGAACCCCAGGGCTACCGCACCAGTATTAAGAAGTTCCTACTTGCCTTAAAATCCACCCCCGCCTCGTGCTCTTTTCAAAATTCACCCTTTCCATGCAAGTACGTACGTACGTACCTCCAATTTTCTTCACTGGCTTCCCCTATCTCGCTTTCAGATACTCACTGGGACATTTTACCTCGTTCACCGCACCTCATTCCACCGACGCTCGATTTTCCTCCACTGCATATCAGACTCTCTTCATCCTATCTACCGACTCCATCCCTCTCTTGGCCCACGCTCCCCTGACACAGACCAGAAGCATAATGAGTCTTAATTAACAGTTTAGTGGTGGTGCCGTTGAGCTTAATTTTCCACCCAGAGAGCACTACATTCGGGAATGTATTCTTCAGACTGATATTGCAGATTCATTTGGATGTCAATTGATTAAATGCAGGATTGAATCAATCGTCCAAAGAAAGTGCGGCACTTCTCTTCTTGTCTCATCCGCTTCATTATTTTCTCTTCTTTATCGCTCATGTAATTACACGAAAATTTCGGTAGACTGAAAAGTGGACGAAAAAACTGGCACTAAAAGCATCACAGGAGCAACTGACATTAGACGTGAAATAATTGTACTAAAGAGCTTTGAGCCAAAAGCAGTGAACCCCTTTCTCGCAGCTAATGATCCATCAGCTTCACTAACTTTGGTGCATCAGACCAAGAAGCAGATTGATTACTCGAAAAGATATTTCTCTAAATGACGTCGGAGGCTGCAGATTGTTCTCAACGGCAAATAACCAAGTGCCCGGTTGATTTAAGATTTTGAATTTTCTTCAGAATTTTGTTGTTTTCTTCAGCACTGTAGGCTTTGGAGAAATTGTTTTGTCCACAATGAGTATGCGTTGGGGTTACGATTGATGAATATCATTTCATCTTCATGACATGACAAATTGTCCTCTTCAACGCCGAACACTTGACCGTGCCAAATCGGTTTTTAACGTATGCCGGTGCGATAATCCAATGTGTAATCCAGCAGGTCCTCACCGAGGGGTGCCGAGGGGCGCCGAGCGAATCCAATAAGATCCAGTTCAGACAAGCGTGACATTGCACACTGAACTTTTTTTTTCTATCCTCGTATTTTGACCCCCTCATCGCTCCCCGGATCAAACGTGAACTCTGCGAGGGGTTTGTGATCCTGCACGTGCAGCATCTCCACTTGACAATACTCCAAGTCGCCATCCCCCGCTGCTAATAGTTGAACATTAAATTTGTCAGTGATATTACGAGTGGGGTGGGTATCGGTGAATGGAGGACTATCATGGTAAATAATGGTTGGCATTCTATGATAGTACGCAGGGGGATACGTCATTCGTCGATCGCACGAATGAACCTCATACGTGCGTGATTCTCAGTACAAAGGTGAGCTCACCCTCTCATGTCTGTTTTATTTGATAATTTATTCTTCGGTCGGGGCACTTTCCAGTTGGCTGGCTTTTACAGGAGGAGAATTTTCAAGAGGTTGCAGCTATATCATTCTGAGAATGACTGGAATGGCGCCGAAAAAAATGATATCCCGTCGATTCCAAAGAAACGAATAATAATTGTTTTAAAGTGGAAACTGAAATTGGGATTTTTTTTTATTTGCGAGGCTGAGGCTCTTCGGGAGTTCGTTTGCATCTTTAAAGCTCTTACGGGTTTTCATCTTGAGACCCGCAGGGCTTCAAAGAATGTGAGGTAGGCTTTTTCATTTATCTAATGAGGTAAATGAAAATGTTCTGATTGCCAACTTGACACGCCTCTCCTTATTACGGTCAGCTGTTATTAAGTTACATTTTATAATAAATACTTATAATAGCGACAATTCATCGTCGCATTATTTAGTTAACAATATTTGTGTTTCTGTCGTATTTAACTGTAAAAAATATGTATTGAATTCATTTGAGTCTTTTACAAATTTTGCAAGCGGCGAATCAATATATTGATTTTCGTGTTACTCAATCGCGATCGCGATAGCTTTGACTATCTACCCGAAGTCTCACATAATATTATTCCGTAACGAGTCTGTCTACAAATTTGATCTGTTTGTTTTTTTGCTTTCGTAATTCTGAGCGTGTTGATTGCTGGTGGATTTAATGCTATTATTCTTTCATTTGAACTAGTCTTCGAAAAAATGAGAATTAAATTACGCGTAATTATGTCCCTGGTAAGCTTTACCATAATAACATGGTGTAATGGATTGCGTCATAATATGTAGTACAATTACATCATAATACCGATATGTTAATAAAATTCTTTAAATGCCTAGAATATTTTTGTGAGCTGTGTGAATATTTAAAACTTTAAGCCCGATTCAACATTTTGCGAAAAGCATTTAGACTCGTCTAAAAAGCTGATCCCGTACATAATCCCCTTGGAAAGGATGGGTGTTGTAAAATCAAATGAGCCCTAGATAGAATCAGCTAACTTTCGCACGGTATCTGAAGTGTATAAGTTTGATGGTTTCCAATGTTCCTTTCGCGAGGGCCGACAGGCAAAAAAGGGAGGACAGTAGCCACAACTGGGGTTGAATCACGTTTTTTGACAGGAGAAGCCAACAGTAGCCATCCTGTGTTCCACCGTATACCCGGAGTCCCACGAACCTCGCGGCAAGCGGCCACAAGGCTCGTCGGGAATGTCGAAATAGCAAATTAGAAGATTCCACGGAGGACAAACAATCTTTTCACTCTCTTACTTGTTGCCATCGGCGCGCTCTAACTCGTCAGCCACTCGGTGATTTTGTGGGAAACAGCTTTTTAGTATCAAGGACTATTATTCTCGTCTTCAATATTAAAGGTTCACTTCAACATCTCTCACAGTTTTATCATCTTCAAAGGATGCTGAAGAATAAACAATACAAAAAAATCGTCAACAATATACAAATTTTTATCGAAAGTATTTTATTGTTCATTTATTGTAACGAGAGACCACGCAGCCTACGCCATTTCAAATTCATGACAATATTCTATTTTTGCTAATGTGTTCACGTTTTAGGTTGGACATTAGCCTTTGCTGCTTCCTTTTTCTCGTCCTCTTGCTCCAAAAATTTGTCCCACTTGTCGAGCCTAGCTTCGATTTCCGCGTCGGTCTCAGCGATTCTTGAACAAAAATATTGTTGATAATCTACTGCATCGACAGAGGGCAACAACTACTGTATCTCCAGCAGCATTTACAGGAAATGTGAGTTACTGAATAATGACTAGTTATCGACAATCGGTAAGAGAATTGTTTCAGGCTTACTTGTATTTAGTTTTGCCGTCCCATATTTCGGCGGTTATTTTTCTCTGTCCAAACCATCGACCATTCAATAACTGAATGCAGGCCTGCGCTTCACTCGGCTCTCGAAATGTTATCTGGGCAACACCTTCAGGATGTCTCTGCAATGAGATTTTAACGAACCCGATCAAACAATACGGCAAGCAATAAAATAGGCAGATAGTAAAGATGATGTCAACTCAATAATGATGTAAATTGACATAAGCGATGAAGAATTGAGACGAGCCTTACTTTGTTCTTTATTACAAAAGCAATTCCTATTGTTTTGATTCAATAATATGGATCTAGTACATGCGAACTTTTAAAACAATTCTGTCTCACCACTTTCAGACCTCAAAACAAGAGTTCAAAGAAAAAAAATGAACAAAACAAATAAGGCTCTGTTGTTTTTTGGGTGAGATGCAAATAAATCAGACGAGTGGGGTGACCTAACTCCATAAATTCGTCTCGGCACCACACCCAGTCGTGTTGTGCCTCAACCGTGAATCTCCTCAATGTCAAAGTAAATTCCCTCACTAGATTTTATTCATTTCTTTTAGTTTACGTTCCTCATCGCCCCATGAACGAAAAATAGAGTCCGCAGGACTCATCCCAATGTAACTCTCACTTCTGTGACTCATTAGAGCGCTGAGAATATTTTTTATCCCCAGGGCAAACGCCGTGAGCGCAAGTTGATCATTCGCGCACTTTAATTAAAAGGAATAAGAGAATTTACATAGAAATTGTGAGAGCAAACTCAGCGAGTTGACTGCTAAACAAGGCGCCAAATACATGTGGGCTTGATGGTGCCAATTTCCCAACGACCCACTGCATAAAGAGTAATTTAAGCATGACGCGTGACTCCCTGAATAAGTTTTTTACGAGGTCATGCTTTTTTCCCAAGTGATAAACTCGGTCTCCTGATCTAATTACAAAATCCCTTATTCACTCTAGATATTTCTCGTCTCCATCGCTCTCCAGACAATACGTGGCTGTTCCGTTTCGTCTTTATAGATGAGATTCTGGGAGTAATGACGAATAATCAAAGTACAGAGTTGGAAATTCTTGAAATTGTAATGATCCCACTGTGATAACTTACATCGTAAACCGTGACTTTTCTCACATCACCGCATTTACTGCACTCGGAACGTATGTCCTGTTGGTACTCAAGGAGAAGCGCAACATCCCTATCGAAGTCCTCGGGAGTAAACAAGTTCTTTATAGTGACAACGCGCTCACACTTCATTGGCTCACCAGGTAAACGGTCCGGTCTCCAGTCGAACAACCTGCAAATAAAATCATGATCATCATCTTGGCATGTTGGTACGATTAATGTCACACGAACGAGTTTGCACTAGCCGACACAAGGCTTTAGTATGATATCACGAAATACTAAGTACTCGTAAATCATGGAAGTCATATTTTATTACGCATCTTGCGGGTTTATTCATCCCAGAGTCGGGGAAAAGAAGGCTTCTTGTTCCCTCGGAACAATGAGGTAAGAAATTTAGCGATAAACTGCGGTTTCTCGTACTGAAAAGTCCATTAATTAATTATTACGATCGTCGCAACGTCAAGGACTGCATGAGGCAAAATAAATTATGGATATTTCCACTGTGTATAATTGATTCTGTCGATCCTGACCACTTTAATCATTAATTTCGTTGAATTATATTTCAATCGTTCTAAAAAATGGAATATTCATCAAATTTATCGATGGACTGATTTTCGATTCTCATTCGATTGAAAGATACTAGAAAGATAGCCGAGGGTGCGGAGTGAATAATAAAGTTAAAAGTTTCGAAAGTTTAACAAATTGTAGGAAAATGGGAAAGGATTCAGGTCGCGATGAAAAAATGGCAAATTTGAGGGAAGCCATATTTTTCCAGGCATTTTCTTGATATTGTTGTATGGAAGCATTAGCATAATGTTAATGACCCTTGCATGATCAAACAAGACCATTTAGAGGCAATCGAGACGTCAGTTTATAATGTTGACTCAACAGTCTCTATCACGGATCATGAATGGTGATTGATACGCAGGGGATTGGTCGTAAACGCTCGTAATGGATATCGATGTAATCACGAGTAATTTCATAATCAATCATTACATCGTCGAGTATCCCGAGTGCTTAGGTAAACGGATATAAACGGAAACTGGGGCTTTCCTAATTGTCCGCATAATTTGCAGGAATCAATTTCATCGAAATTACATAAAAAGTGGATTTTTACCGATTCACTATCCCTTTTAAGAAAAAGGATAACACCCCATGCGTGTGAGCTTGTGCGCACAGCGCGCCATATACCCTAGTAATTTTAAAAATTAATGCAGTTCAGTTCCATTAATTAAAATTTCAATAAGATATTCATTGTAATAATAATATGCGCCCAGAAAAAAGATTCATGTGATTCAAATAAATAGATGTTCATTAATAAAAAAATTACTTAATATAAACTCATAGAAAGGCATATTTGTTATGTAAATAAATTTATGTGTTTGAGATAAAAAAATAATAGTACTGGGTTTAATTAATGCTTCTATTGTGTATGATTAATTTATATTCAATAATTGGGAAACATTCCGTCATTTCCAAAGGGGAAACAGAGGAGCAGCTGTTATGTTATTGTTGGGAATTAAACAGGTGTTGAATTTTCAATTTAATTCACATGAAAATTGAGCGAGTCATGTTTTCCATGGTGGGGTAAGTCCGACGAAAATTCAACGGCTTGTAATTTCGGTGCAACTCATCGATCAAGTTCAGTACGTTAGCAATAATGTTTAACAACGGTTCTGATCTATCAATGAGTCATTAGGAATGAAATGGCTGCAGTGAAGTATCAACCCTGTCTCCTTGATCGATTGTTTACGTGAACAATTTTCCTGCTACAATGAGAGATGAGAAAACCCAATTGCCATCATTTTGGCATTTAAAATCGATAATTGAACGTCACTCAACGCATTTTTTTTCGAGGAAGCAGTTGAATTTCGGATAGTCGGGTAATGAATATGGATAAGACAGGAAATTGGAACGCGTTCGGATGTGAATCGATGATTATGCACATGGGGCCAATCAAAACGGCGCAATATCCGGATTCCCACATTCTTCTTTTAACGAAAAAAAACCTCACGATCCGGAAATCGACTTCATACCCACCCAAAGTCATGATCATGCCTGATATTTGGGGTAATTTAAGGGGTAACTACGAGAGTAATTACCACATTCGTTGGAAAATTTCAGAAGAAAAATGTTGAATTTTAAGAAAAAAAAACCGGGGACTATTCATTGGTGAAATCATTGTGTCAAATCAAATATACCAAGAACCAACTTTGAAATCACGTGAAATCAACATTCATTAATGCAATAATATACAACAACCCCTCGAAATAAACACTATTTTTTTCCTGAAGACCATACCCCAAATTTCGGTGCATGTAATTTGGAAATAATTTATTTATAATACTTTATTTATAATACTTAATTTTTGAAGAGGCGGGAATGTAAATTCTGCGGGTGAGGATGAGGAATCCGGGAATGATCAAGGGGATAGCTCTTGTCCAGACTGCTTGGCGGTGCTGACCAAAGCAGCTGAGCATACCGATTATGGTGAAGGATCTGTAAGCCATCATCTTCCGACTTTTTTCCTGCCTCTTCTCATCTCGTCGTTGTTGAAATGAGAAGGCTATACCTTCTCCGCAAGTTTCACATAGAATAACGCGGATCCGCGGTCAGAAACACTGGTGCATCCGTTCGTGCCCGACCAGAAGGAAAGTGCATGCAAACGAGGCTCGCGTGGTATGCACACGCCTCCCAATTTATTTGCCCAGGCGACTGCACCCGTCTAATTACTTATCTTCACTTGTTTGTCATGTTCCGTTATGCCTGGGGTTAAAAGTAATCTTTCGGGGGGAGCGCTTGGGAAGATTAAAGCCGGGAATAAACCGCAAATGAAAGGTAACATCGATGAACAAATCCTCGTAAATCTCGCAATCAATCTCGCAGTTAAAATTATTTATGGGGGTTATCGATTATTAAACTAAAAAACTGGGTACAAAATTTTTATTAACATTCGCAGCGGGCAATATTTACCATTAAATTTTAAATATGTTCCGCCGAACGTTCCGGATTTTAATAAAAATTTAGTAATTTTTTAGTTTCTCATTTTTCGTTCATAAAATTTTATACATATATTTTTTTTATTAACGGAATTAAATTTTTTATAATTTTACGCGAAAATCCGTGGAAATTGTATATACCAGTTTAATTATCACCGGAAAATTGATTGCGAATTTTAAAAAATGGGAATATCCATCATTTAATTTGCGATTTCCCTGAATTTTCAGATATAGACTTAAAATTCTGCGAACATTTTTCCTTCAATTAAATTAACCGTCTTCTTCGGAAAATTTTGAAGAAATGCCCCGTAAATATTTGTGAAAAATTGCTCAACTATTAATATCCGAGAGAATATTTCAATTGGCGGATGATCAATACTGATTATTTGCACATGTGTATCAATATACGATTACCAACAGCACTTCGTCATCATTTTGAATTGGGAACAGGAATTGAGAAAGCTTGCAGGTCGCATGAAGGTGAAATTTCGGAGTGCACACTGTAGGTGCCATTAATCACAATTTACCGTGGGATTATTGCGCTGGTACGCCGCACTTAGTTGCACAATTTTTCCAAACGAAATGTCCAGGGCACCTCTTAATTATCTGCAATGCGTATCCCGGAAAAGAGAAAAGCTTCTTGATTCACGAAAAACACTGAAGTGTACGCGTCAAGAAACTAGAATGTTCTCCATTATCGAAAATAAATATAAGTACCAATAATAATCCGCATAATTATTAGCACTTAAAAATATTTCCCAGCCTGCAGAAACTTCTAATTATTATCTAGAATCAAGCAAGTGTAATTTCTCGGATCAAGCGACTGCAATCCGTTTACCATTCGAATCCTAAGAAATTTTTTATCTGTTCCAAGAAATCACTGGGAATGCAGTTATTGCTAAAAAGTAATTGGCAATTATTCGTGTCACTCCGTCTGGCATAATCAAGAATCTGGGATGAATCTAGTACAGAGAAATTCTCGCGTAAAATCTTTTTCCCCTTCATGATTTCCTCTTATTATTCATCAATCGCTGCGGGCACTGAGTCCAGTTTGCGGAGAAAACGGTATAACCTCGTTGCATTTTCGATTCCGATACTGGGGAGTACTGTTCCTCAAACAGGAGACGGCACGTCGCGAGATTTGCCTTCCGGGTGGAAATTGATGATGTTGGCTTGCTGACCATTGCCCATGCGAGAGCTATTTATTTGGATGGGGTGATCGATGGGGGAGAAATTCCGTAGTAATCAGCACAGCTCTAATGATTCCTTCTCAGTCCTATATTTCAACGCTCATCTACGATTTTATCATTCCATGAAACCAGGAATTTTTTTACTCATTCGAAAAACGAAGATTTTTATATTTATTTCCACTTTTCCATGTTCTATCATTGTTTTAATATCATCCGCGATGGAAAAATAGAGGGAATCAACAAGTGTTTGATGAAGAAATTAGATTTTGAAGAAATATCACTTTCCTACCACAAAAATCAGATCAGACCAGTGGAGATGTATGGATTTTGTGCTATTTCTGTGTCTCTGACACGTTCGAATATCTCACTGTTGCTAACGCGGTGAGTATAAATTAAATAAACGGCTGGTTGTTACAACAATTCGATTTTGAAAAAAAATTATTTTTCTTTCCCATAAATATATTTTGAAGATATTTTCTATGCGTGACATTCTACTCACTTTTCCTGGATCTTCTTTTGCCTGTCCTTATCCTTTTTCTTGCGCTTGGGCTTCAATGTTGGATCATATTGGCCCTTCATTTGGAACTTCGCGCGCTGGATCGAGATCGTTTTACCCCGCATCTGGGAACCGTCCAACACCTTCAGGGCCAAATCCACAGATTCCACCTGAACCGAAAAAAAAGATTAATACTAATTTGTTTTTTCTTGTGTCAAGCCGATCAGAAACAAGAATTGCAATTTGATGACGACATTTCACGCGTCAAACGTTTCAAATATAGTTTGTAATGATATAATAGTAATATATTTAGTAAAAATAATCCTTCCACGATTGCAAGTCTCATAAAATTTTGAATTTCTTTCCGAATGTGATTACAGCCCTCGCTTTATTAAAAACTGTTTTCCTTCCGGATGGGCGCATTGTAATCGAACCAGTTACTCATTTTTTATATTGTATCAGCGCAATATGATTCAAGAAGTTTAAAAATGTAATTTTTAAATCGTCTATAAGAAATTTTTCAAAATTATCTTCGCTTGGGCGTTAGTGCATCTGTGAAATTCAATCCACAAGTGCCAGCAGTCTTCGGTTGCTGCTTTTCGAAGTCCCGTCAGTTTCATCCAGTTTTTCCGTCATCCTCTAACGAACTCATTCGCACTTGGTCCGATGCGTCGGGCCTAGGTGCTGGGCACTTGGCGACAAAAGTAATTAACGCATCCTGGCTACCAGAAAATAAAAAAGTAGCGCTCAATGGTGCGCGCTTCCCTGAGGCTATTGTGTCGGACACGTCCCATTATTCACGCAACGTAAAATTTTCCCCTCTCTGCAGTTAGGAACAATCAGAATCTTCAAACACACCGGGGAGACATTTTTTCACCTCTATATTTGCGACAGTTAGCGTCAATCATGGACGATTCATTTGACATTTGAAAACGGCATGAGCGTTCCTATGGCTTTCCATAATTTGCAATAAATTATTTACGACTCGTATTTTCATGGAACGCGTTGGCATGTCAAGATAGGCTCCTGCATCACCCACAAAATTGTAAGAAATATCTCCAGTGTTTACTGTTCGTACAAATGTCCCGCATGTGCCGTTTCACTGGATAAACTTACGCTCGGTGAGATAAGCATAAAAGTTTGAAGAAGCCAGGAAAATTTCTCGGTGGTGTTCCCACTGAATTTACACGAACCAGAGAAAAAAATAATCTTCACAACGAAAACGTTATCTTGTCATTTTGCAGGTTTGACATAAAATTTTTTACTTTCTCCAAAAAAAAGAATCAAATCAAAATTCAAATTTAAAATTAAAAATGTATTTTTAAATGTCAAACAAATATTGATTTGTCATTAATAAGTCATTGATTTGCATAACGAAATGATTGAATTAATTTTAAAACAATCTGACATAATAAATGATAATCAGAATGAGAGACTTCATTTTCTATTATTGACATAAAATGATTCGTTTGATTGAAGTAAATTAATCGTTGGATATTAAAAATTCTTTCGACAGGAAATAATTCCTGTCCTAATCCCCCGGAAATAATTCACCAGGAAATTTTGTAGTTTTCAAAAATGAATGGAAAATATTGTCTTGCATGAAGTAAACCTTCTTGATCAAAAGTAGTTTTTTTCTCCTCGTGTACTCGAGTTTTATGTACATTCAGAATGGGAACGTGTACTGAGTGACGAATGACTGAATATGTGAACTGTCAGTGGCGCCGACATGACGCAATTATGATTGCTCTTCATACGCCGCAATGCATTCATTACTTTTCATTATTTTTCATCCGCAAAACTAGTGTTTATGGACCACCATCAGTTCCCCCCACCCATTCTATGTCACAATGAAAATTAATTTGAGAGGATTAAAACGGTTATTTATCGTATCCAAGTTTTAACAGTGAACTTGAACTGCACTTTTCACCTACGGTGTGAGAAAAAGTTGGGGATTTATCGGACTTGTTCGGGTTGGTGAGCCTTACCGCCCACGCTCTGGTACTTTTTCCATGAAGAAACAACGGGGTATCCCGGGGAACAGGAGTTGAGGAAAAAATGGCGAGAGAAATTGAGGCGAAGGGACTCAATGAACCCACGCACGCCAGACGACACACCCTCGCTCAAGGATCTCCACCATTTTTCCATGAGAAAACGAGATTTTACCAGCGAATTGTGCTTTCCAAGGATCATCCTCGCCCACACCACCGAAGAAATTCATTTAATCCAATGAAATAGTGTAAAGAAAATATAGTTATTGCCTTTCGCATTGAAGAATTTTCCTCGTCGGTCTTGGATTGGAAGATATTCCTCGGAATCATATCTATTAGTTAAATCGTCGTTACTCTTAACCTTTTAACTACTGAATTATTAAAGAGGATTAAAAACAATTACTCAAATGTGTAGTAAAAATTTTCCGTCACTGTCACTCTTGCCTCGAGTTATGAAGCAACATCAACAGCAACTCGAACGTGACGTCACTCGTTTGCATAGTAATTTTCCAACTTGAGCTATAACTCCAGTAAAAAAATATCGAGCCTCAGAATGAGTAACGAATGATTTTTCCTTCAAAGCGTATCTCAATGAATCGTTAAATCTAGCACGAAGCCAGGTGGAATGAAGTAGAAATGAAATAAGCTATTGATTGTGCCACGGTCATGGAAATTGCTGGATTGTCTTAAAGAAAATACTTCCCATACATTACCATAGAAAATACGAACGAGATTATTTATACCCAGCGCCATAAATGTGTCATTCCTATAACCGTCATGTCACGTAAGAGGTACCAGTCAACAGAGAACAATCTAATTCCAAACTAGTGAGTCTAGGTAATTGCCTATGAACTTGGGAATGCAATCAGAATTCTTACGAGAGAAGGAGTGACATTCCACGCGTAAGCACAGATTTACCACAAGAACAAAATCCCAGGTGCTACGGCCCTTAAAAACCGAGAAATAAAAGCCTTCAGAGGGTTTCAACGAGAACTTAATTACAAATTGTTTGCCTGTTTGATGCGAAATGAGGTTTGAGAGGTCTCAGATTTATAATTACAAATCCTCAAAGCGGGTTTCGATGGAAAAATAACTCACGAAAGTAGTCAGTACTATACGAATTTTCCCACTGGCGTTGGAAATCAGAGCAATATGATGATTCACTAGTTGAAGTTGTCAAAGGGATTTCCACGTGAAAACCTCAAATAATCCTCTCTCATTCCCAGCATCAAAGCCCGCAGCACTAAAAAAAAATCGTTAAAGCATCAACGATAAAAAAAACCGCAAACGGTTCTGCCCCAGAAATATCTGTCGAACTGAGAAAATTGATAACAATATTAAAAGTTTTTTGTATCGAAAAATCAATATGAATAAACTTGAGATGACATTTTAATGATTTTCTGGAATTAATTGAATAAACTTTAATAATTATTTATATGATTATATATAATTATCTAAGCGCGCACTCCATTATTTTCAAAAAAATCTTTGAAATGTCAATACAAAAAACATTTTTTTTAAATGTAAACAATTTTCATAACAATAATAATGATAGTATTGTTTTTTTATTATTGTTATTATCAGTATTATTATCATTTTAGGATAAAAATGCGAGAATTTATTAGAGAGAATGTTTCTAATTGCTGTCCCTACATTAGCCTGTGATCAGATGAAAATTCACAGTAGTATTCGGAGTACCCGTAGTCCGTAAATCAATTAGCCCATTGACAATTGGTTATCGAGCGACATCTGATATTTTAATCAATTCCATTAGGGTAGAGACCATTCCTGTTTCGAGCTACTAGTTAACATTAGCACAATTCCAACATCATTAATCGGAGATACAAGCCGTCGGGTTGGTGAAACTTTCAGATACTCCCGATTTCGAGCCAACTTCTGATCATTATAACTTTTTACTGCTTATTTGTCGTCGTCCATCGTCTGATTGCACCCCAGTGAAAAATCAACAGGCCAATTTACTCGTCAAAGTATCAGCGCCCTATAATCATCAAATATACCAACCTGTTATTTTATCCCCCGGAAGTCCGTAAATTAGCAAATTATTTTCAGGATCTGAAGGCAGTGCGAGGTCGATTTCTTTATGGGTTAACGATCCATTCGCGTCGTTTGAAGCCGATATGGCCTGATACAACCCGCTGGCGCCTGTTTATTGTCATAAAGATTTGACGTTGATGTTTCGTCTAACAGTTCGTGATTTTTTTTCTATTCAATTTAGGTCCCCTGGTTTATCCTCGTCTTTCGAATGTAGGTGTAAGTGAGTTTCAGTTTGTTATCATTTGCCACACGTTTCAAAGATGCCATAATCTCATTTTATCGAGCATTTTATTCTAGTACTGACTAGAAAATATTTTCTGGGCCGGCATTAAAAATTGGGTTCACCGCGTTTTTCAAATAATATTTTGAATTTTTTGATTGAATCATTCAAAATTGATTCGTGAGAACTAATTAGAAAATAAATTTCATGTTAACTTTTTAAGGTAATCTACTGGTAATTAAAATAACAATTTTCTAACAGCGCACGAGTATACGAGAATTGTTCTAAAGAATGCTTCAACGTAAATATTTACTAATAAAACGCGCTCGTTTAGTTTTTCCGTGGTTTTTTCATTGAGCTGGAGAGTGCGTGCCGTTATGGGCCATTTTGTTTGTCTTAGTCTGATGAGAATAGGCTGGGATTGAACATGAAGCACGAGCAATGCAGAGTTATGTGAACTCGGGTAATGAATCATGTGCAGACCACCCGGATGATCATCCCCGGAGGATTTTAGATTACCGTGATTATTTTCTCGGACTACATATGAGGGGTCGATGCTGAACTAAAAGGCGTGCAATAGGTAACACCAAAGCAAGTGCGCGATTAAAAATTTGATGTAAAGTTTATCCTGATGGTTGGTAATCGTGTACCCGGATGAAAAATAAATCAGTAAAAATTACCAGAAGAATAATGACAGAATTAGGAGTGAAGGTGTAATGGATGAGCAAAATAAATGGAAAGAGCTGAATAATTTTTCCTTCGCGACAAAAGTCTCGGCAGGCTGCCATGAATTTGAGGGTCGATCGCCAACATTTAATTACTCCCAATTAGAGTCCGATGTTGGTCAATGTCGCGACCCTTTTCGGGAATTGTCGGATATCGGGTACTTAATGAACCCAATTAT